TGTGCAATACATCTATCATTCTGTACAGTACATCTATAATTCGAGTAAGCAGCGAATACATTATACTGTTATACTTAGTATCTACATACAGTGTGTCTTCTATTATGTAATACAGTACAAGTAGACAGATGTTTACATGTGTACATTGTATTTTAAGTCTGTACGAGCTGTGGCCGTCATTCCGAGATGCCCATGCTATATCCTAGCCGTGTCATGTACAACATGGGTACACATACCACCAGACGTCCTGTGCGATCGCAAAGAAACATTTGTACTTAAACGTCGGAAGTTATCAATAATGCCATCCTCGCCACACAATTTATGCTTGACTTTTTCTGAAGACTCTGTAGAAAACCCAAGAACTTCAATAGAAATAGTGGTGAGTTCAGTCAATATAGAAATAGTGCTGAGTTTGGCAAAGAAATAACAGAAAAATGGAAATACGACGAAAGGAAAAAAACAATTGACAATCTTCAGATTAAGAAAGCAAGACAGTTTGTATATATAAATATTGTACGACATAGCCATTTCAATCATTTAGAACTTGTCAGAAGTAAAAAAAAAAAAAAAAAAAAAAAAAAAAAAAAAAAAGAAAAAAAGAAAAGCTAAAACTATGAATAATCAATGTCTAATATGTTCTACACCATATGTAAAATACAACGCTGGAGCAGATGATATATTTAAATTAGTTTTTCATGTAAAAAGTGCCAAACCTTTTCCAAGCTACAAGGCTACAAAGCTAGGTTTGGTTACCACAGCAATTATGTTACGCTTAGACACCATAGCAATATTGTTGGGTTAAGCTATTGAGGAAGTGTTAGGTTTAACAAAAATGTGTTTGATTAAGCAACCCTAGACTTAATGTTTAGTTTCGCCGGCAAAGAAATAGTGTTAGGGTAAGGAAAGTATACGGTTAGCAAACTAGTGCTACCATAGAAATAAGGCTATGTTTAGTCGCCAAGGAAATAGTGTTAAAGTAGTAGTGTTAATTTGATAGCCAACAAAACATTCATTTTCTGTTTAACCACTATAGAATTATCTGGACAGCTTTGTAAGATTGTATACATGGGAACAAATAGAGATTTTTAACAGAGGGCCGTGTCAGTGAAGTTAGTTTTCTAGGGATTAGATATAGCGTTTACTAGAGTGTCTGTCACATTGTTACTAGATTTCCCGATTTCGCTTTTTGAAGGTGGAAACAGCAGGATTATTACCGATATTTCACTTATTGTCCAACAAAGATATCAGACGTCCATTAAGGGTCAATTGTGAGGACAGGAGGAACCGGAAAGTTCTATCTATTGGTAAGATTACAATAGGACATGTATTAATAATATCGTAGTATGGACGTGTACTAATAATATCGTAGTATTGACATGTACTAATAATATCGTTGTATTGACATGTACTAATGATATCGTAGTATGGACATGTACTAATGATATCGTAGTATTGACATGTACTAATGATATCGTAGTATGGATATGTGCTAATGATATCATAGTATGGACATGTACTAATGATATCGTAGTATGGATATGTGCTAATGATATCATAGTATGGACATGTACTAATGATATCGTAGTATGGATATGTGCTAATGATATCATAGTATGGACATGTACTAATGATATCGTAGTATGGATATGTGCTAATGATATCATAGTATGGACATGTACTAATGATATCGTAGTATGGATATGTGCTAATGATATCATAGTATGGACATGTACTAATGATATCGTAGTATGGATATGTGCTAATGATATCATAGTATGGACATGTACTAATGATATCGTAGTATGGATATGTGCTAATGATATCATAGTATGGACATGTACTAATGATATCGTAGTATGGACATGTACTAATAATATCGTAGTATGGACATTTACTAGTTATATCATAGTATGAACATGTAATAATGATATCTTAGTATCTTATCATAATATTTATATCATTTGAAGCTGTCAGTGTGTTACATGTTAATTATATACATGTACATAAAAGCAAAGCCAAGCACTCACTACCATATTGCTGTACTGTAAGAATTTATTAAAATATCAATTGTATCAATTATATCAAGTATGAACATGTGATAATGATATTGTGGTATGAACATGTAATAATAATATTGTGGTATGAACATGTAATAATGATATTGCAGTATAAAGGTGTAATAATGATATTGTAGTATAAAGGTGTATTAATGATATTGCAGTATAAAGGTGTAATAATGATATTGTAGTATAAAGATGTAATAATGATATTGTAGTATAAAGGTGTAATAATGGTATTGCAGTATAAAGGTGTAATAATGGTATTGCAGTACAAAGGTGCAATAATGACATTGCAGTATAAAGGTGTAATAATGGTATTGCAGTATATAGGTGTAATAATGGTATTGTAGTATAAAGGTGTAATAATGGTATTGCAGTATAAAGGTGTAATAATGACATTGCAGTATATAGGTGTAATAATGGTATTGCAGTATAAGGGTGTAATAATGGTATTGTAGTATAAAGGTGTAATAATGGTATTGCAGTATAAAGGTGTAATAATGGTATTGCAGTAAAAAGGTGTAATAATGGTATTGCAGTATAAAGGTGTAATAATAATATTGTAGTATAAAGGTGTAATTATGATATTGCAGTATATACATAATAATATAGGTGTAATAATGGTATTGCAGTATAAAGGTGTAATAATGGTATTGCAGTATAAAGGTGTAATAATGGTATTGCAGTATATAGGTGTAATAATAAGATTATAGTATAAAGGTGTAATAATGGTATTGCAGTATGAACATGTAATAATGATATTGTAGTATGAACATGTAATAATGATATTGTAGTATGGACATGTAATAATGATATTTTAGTATAAAGGTGTAATAATAATATTGCAGTATAAAGGTGTAATAATGATTTTGCAGTATAAAGGTGTAATAATGATATTGTAGTACATGTATGAATGTGTAATAATGATATTGTAGTATGAACATGTAATAATGATATTGCAGAAAAAATGTGTAAAAATAATATCGCAGTATAAACATGTAATAATACTGTATTTGATACATGTGGTATGAGGATGTAGTGTCACTTACTAAATTCAGCGTTTAAGAGCTTTTTCATTACTTCTGTTTATCGAAGCAAGATAACAACATTAGATAAATTGGAAATGTTGTTGTTGGTTTTGTTATTTCGCGGCATAATTGTTTAAACGAAACAACAATATTTTATAGCTTAAACTATCATTTAACAATGCAACGACACGACACATAAGAGCTTCCAAACACAACAGATAATTAGAAATAAGCAACTAAGGGATAACATTGCTGACCCATTCAAGCTTCAAATCCCAGCTACACAGTTTCATACCACTCAGAATTAGCCATTGTATAGCGACTCGAAAACTGGGATGTTTGCAAGATATTTGTGTTCCATTCACAGAAAACTTCATGGAAATCCACATTCTTACGAAAGACGGTGATCTGGAATGGAAATTAGAAAACACCAAACTATGTGAAAACAGGGGGTTTATTACATTCGACGTGAACAACATCAGAAAGGGGTAAGTATACAAAGAAATAGATGTTTAAATACCGTGAAGTAGGGAAAACAACCAAGGCCATACTGAGTTACTATAAAATAGTAAGTGTTTTGGTAACATAAAGAAAACGGTAAGTAAAATCGGTGCTAATAAGAATTGCACAGGCGATTATTTTGGATAAACAGCTAATTCCGTACAGATTTTCATATATTTAATTAAGCTGTTTAATTTAAAATAAAGACAAGTAAACTTGTTATTGCAGTGTGAAGAAAGCCGTAGCTGTGATGCTGTCCAACTACAGAATAGTACGTATTGATTATTAATATATCTTACAATTCATTCAATATATATTACAATTTAGACAGCCATGTTAGGAATATTGTGTGAAAGTATTTAACCAACATCCACAAACTCGTACATAAACTACAAAGCCTCCGATTGAATAATATAACAAATTAACAGAGGCAATTCAGATAAACAATTATTGCTACGTATTTTTGGGACACATTTATTACACAGCTTTGAAAAATGAAATTTATATATTATTCCTGAAAAAAGCAAGAATACTTATTTCATCACGTTAAATGACATTTATCTGTCTTGAATATATTGGTCATTTCTTTTATCTTATTTCTTGTTTGTATGTTTTTCAGTCTTTTTCAGAACCAGACAACGAACATTTAGGTATGTTAACACACCTTTGATAGTTTCTATATAAAGACACGACAGAGTCCTTTCGTCAGCCTCATATCTTGACAGTACCCAGCTCCTGGTAGTAATGATAACCACACTACTTTAGTATACAAGTTAACACATTGATCGGGATAGTCATATTCAAGAGCTTAACTTTAATTTGACTGTGATATCATTTTCTTATTACTATTATTGTAAGTTTTACATTAAACACTGTACATTTTTTACTTAAGAGGATACTAAGTTTTGTAATTTATGGTTACACAGAAAGAGAGAAGGAACTATTACTTGGGATATACAAAGATCGTATCTACACAAAGCACTGGCGACATATTGGTATAGCCCTTGGTATGACTCAGCATTACCTCAACAACGTGGAGAACAAAAAACCCCGATCGCTTCAGGAGAAAGTCTGTATTGTATTGGGAAGGTGGCTAAAGGATAACCCGTCCCGGTCTTTACGTCACGTACAGAGTGTCTGGAACTAACGCAGCAATGAAGAATGGATTCATGAAGAATGGATTTGTGTCTGGAACTAAATCAGCAATTTTCAATTTCAAAAGTATTTTATTCACAATATATATATATTACAAACATATAAGTTCAAATTAAAGAAGATGTTAGAATAGTATTGACAAAAGAATCAGACGACAGGCTATGCCTATATCAGTCTTCTTCTATTTCCGGTAGCTATGTACAATGATTAAATATATAGAATGTTGTAATTCGTGTTCATCTCACACACATGCACACCCACACCCGCACCAGCTTATGTGTAATATTCATTGTTTAAGGAACAAAACTTGACTGAATAATAATAATAATAATAATAATAACAATACATGAATATTAATTTGGATTTAATCTAGCATGTATAAGTAACGAAATGTTTTGATGATTTAATATAAAAGTCAACATGTATAAGAATAGTATTATTTAATTGGCCAGATGCATTACTAATACCAGATAATAAACAGTGCAGATTTAAACATCCTAATTGATTATAAATAGTGGTAATATGATGCCTAATATTTGAATACAGAGGACATTCAAAGAAAAATTGTATTAGATCTTCCCTCTGTGCACCACATGCACAGTAAGCATCATCAATTAGATGGTCCTGTAACTTATCAAAGTTAAGATCACTTTTACAATTTTTAAACTGACATAAAATGATGTTAAGTTTCCTCGGAACACAGTTGATAAACGTTTCTGAGACAGATGTATTAAAAGTTTTTTAAAGTTTCTTTTTATAAGATGAAATTGAGATAGAATCTCGTATGTTGCTTTCAAGTACATTCCATATTACCATGGTAGAATGGAAGAAGCTATTCCTATAAGTAGTAGTTCTTGTCTGTGGTATATTAAAGAATCTACTATTTCTGAAGGTATAGTTATTATTTATATTTAGAAATGGTTGAATGATATCATCGAGATAAGTTGGAGTGTAATTATTAAGAATCCTATACATTAATGTTTGTTTATGATTTTGTCTTCGTGTGTGTAAATTTTCAAGTTGTGTTTCAGTATACAGAATGTGATGAGATGTACTTCGTCTGAGGCCAGTAATTAATCGCATAGCTTCTAGTTGAACTGATTCTAAAATATCTGATTCAGATTTGGTACAATTATTTCATACTATATCAGAATATTCTAACACAGGTCTTATATAAGAGACATATAATGCTTTTAATGTAGTTTTTAAAATCCTAAGAATACTAGAGTTAGCTTTTTTTTATAAATATTTGAAATGTGATCTGCCCATGTCCCTTTACTGTTAAATGTTAGTCCTAAGTGAGTATGGTGTTCATATTGTGCAATTGGAGTATTGTTAAATAGCTGTTGAGGATGATTGTTAATGTGTCTACGACAGAAGTTAATAGCTACAATCTTATTTGGATTGAATAGGATTTACCATTGCGTTGACCATTTAGAGATTGATTCGAGATCATCGTTGAGCATGTTAGGATGTAGGTGTTGTAAGGTCATTGCTATTATTTACTATAACATAGAGAGAGGTATCATCTGTAAAGAGTTTTAAATGAGAGGTTACATCGTTAGTTATATCAATAATAAAAAGAAGAAAGAGAAACCAGCAATATGACAGGGAATAGTGTGTGAGACTAAAACACTGGCATTGATGTACAGGTTTTTGTGTCTTAAACTAAAGCAGTGATGGAGGATAATTTACATTGTCTGTATTGAGCCATCAGTTAAGTAGTAGTTTGTATTTGAGACTTTATAGAAATTGGTTCGGAATAAATTTATGTACGTGACTTAGCCATTGGTTTAGGATTTATTTGTGTCTGTGACTTAACCATTGGTTTTGGATTTATTTGTGTGTCTGTGAATAAACAAACGATCGAAGTGTGATCGATGAGTGCATGGGAATAGGTTAACAATGTATGATTGTTTCATGCGTCCGTATCGCATAATTAAGAGAACTTACATTCAACAACTTAAACTTTGACGTCATAATGTCAATATTATTTGTTTATTAATGACGTAGCTAAATTATTCACTTCACATCTATTGATGACATCATGTAAATAACGATGACTTACTTCGCCCGAAGGAGCCCTAAAAGGCAGAATGGTTACGCGCGCAGTTTCGTGTATATGTTATTTATATACCTATATGTATACAGGTCATACAATGGTAGTATAGATATTTAAGATAATCGCTTTACGATGGTTACAAGGTTTAAAAAGGTTAGCGATAATCGACACTATTTGCTTTGTATTGGTTTTAATTTTTGAACAGCACATGATGTCTCCAATAGATGTATAGAGGATATTTTGTCAAAATAATGAGCCTTAGTATTTGTTTATTTTAAATTATTTTTGTGAGAAAGTGGCAACAGCTTCTATTACGATTAACAACATGACAAACAAAGAGGTAGAAGGATGCATATGTAGTACATTTAACAGTGGGACAGATAACAGGCGGTATCACAATCAAGAGTTTGGCAACAACGTGATAACAAGCGGTATCACGATCAAGGTTTTGACATCAAAGTGATAACAGGCGGTATCACGATCAAGAGTTTGAAAACAACGTGATAACAGGCGTTATTACGATCAACAATTTGACAACAACGTGATAACAGGCGGTATTACGATCAAACGTTTGACAACAAAGTGATAACAGGTGGTATCACGATCAAGAGTTTGAAAACAACGTGATCACAGGCGGTATCACGATCAAGAGTTTGAAAACAACGTGATAACAGGCGTTATTACGATCAACAATTTGACAACAACGTGATAACAGGCGGTATTACGATCAAACGTTTGACAACAAAGTGATAACAGGTGGTATCACGATCAAGAGTTTGGCAACAACGTGATCACAGGCGTTATTACGATCAACAGTTTGACAACAACGTAATCACAGGCGGTATCACGATCAACAGTTTGACAACAACGTGATCACAGGCGGTATCACGATCAACAGTTTGACATCAAATTGATGGTAGGCTGTATTGAGTTTAATAGAAAGGCAATAAAATAGATTTTTGTAGATGATTTTATTGTGTACTGTCGTCAACAGTTAAGCGTTTCAATTAGTCCAATGTTGACGGTCTCCTCTCCCAGTTGTTGACCTCTCACATCAGCACAGAAACAAACACTCCCTGTACATTGGATGGGATCATAGCTACCAATCGCAGTACAGCGGAACAACTTCCCTCGTATATTTCTCCCAGAATACTCATGTTGTGCACGTGCACAGGCTGAAATGAAACGAACGAAAATGCAAATCGTCATGTGGCAAATACATATTGTATTTCAGATCGAATTTCCTATCTTACATTGTATCATCTTCGAACGGAATTTAATATGCATGTACTATGATACTGATAGGACGGTATGATATATGAGGAATTGGCAGATTTTGTTTTGTAAATTGCTTCAAACAAAAATGGTATGGCTCGTAACGTGAAACGTAATTGTGAATATGAATTAACATTACTCTATATTTAGCAGTTTTGTTTGACAACAATCTACATGAACTTACAACAGTCGGTGTCTACACCTTCAGCTTCTGAGAAGTCTTGCTTTGTCAGGATAGTTCCATCAGCGGCGACACATCGACAGCTGAAATACACAGCATGATAAAGTAGAACATTGGACTCGAATGCATGCATTATCTTCATCCTGCCACTAAATAGCGTTTCGAAAATACAACAGGTAAAGTTTACAAATCCTGGCAGTAAAGGTGGCTGATATTGTATCACATTTCATAGAAAATGTCTAGGGTGGCTGATATTGTATCGCATTTCATAGTAGATGTCTAGGGTGGCTGCTATTGTACCACATTTCATAGAAGACGTCTAGGGTGGCTGATATTGTATAGCATTTCATAGTAGATGTCTAGGGTGGCTGCTATTGTTCCACATTTCATAGAAGATGTCTGAGTGGCTGATATTGGACCACATTTCATAGAAGATGTCTGAGGGGCTGATATTGTACCACATTTCATAGAGGATGTCTATGGTGGCTGATATTTTATCACATTTCATAGAAGATGTCGAGTGTGGCTGATATTGTACCACATTTCATAGAGGATGTCTAGGGTGGCAGATATTGTATCACATTTCATAGAGGATGTCTAGGGTGGCTGATATCGTATCACATTTCATAGAAGATGTCTGAGGGGCTGATATTGTACCACATTTTATAGAAGATGTCTAGGGTGGCTGTTATTGTATCACATTTTATAGAAGATGTCTAGGGTGGCTGATCTTGTATCACATTTCATAGAAGATGGATAGGGAGGCTGATATTGTATAACATTTCATAGGAGATGTCTAGGGGGGCTGATATTGTACCACATTTCATAGAGGATGTCTAGGATGGCTGATATTGTATCACATTTAATAGAAGATGTCTAGGGTGGCTGATCTTGTATCACATTTCATAGGAGATGTCGAGGGTGGCTGATATTGTATCACATCTCATAGAAGATGTCTAGGGTGGCCGATATTGTATCACATTTTATAGAAGATGTCTAGGGGGGCTGATATTGTATCACATTTCATAGAGGATGTCTAGGGTGGATGATATTGTATCACATTTCATAGGAGATGTCGAGGGTGGCTGATATTGTACCACATTTCATAGAGGATGTCTAGTGTGGCTGATATTGTACCACATTTCATAGAGGATGTCTATGGTGGCTGATATTTTATCACATTTCATAGAAGATGTCGAGGGTGGCTGATATTGTACCACATTTTATAGAAGATGTCTAGGGGGGCTGCTATTGTACCACATTTCATAGGAGATGTTTAGGGTGGCTGATATTGTATCACCTTTCATAGAAGATGTTTAGTGTGGCTGATATTGTATCACATTTAATAGAAGATGTCTAGGGTGGCTGACATTGTATCACATTTTATAGAAGATGTCTAGGGTGGCTGCTATTGTACCACATTCCATAGAAGATGTCTAGGGTGGCTGCTATTGTATCACATTTCATAGCAGATGTCTAGGGTGGCTGATATTGTGTCGCATTTCATAGTAGATGTCTAGGGTGGCTGCTATTGTACCACATTCCATAGAAGATGTCTAGGGTGGCTGTTATTGTATCACATTTTATAGAAGATGTCTAGGGGGGCTGATATTGTACCACATTTCATAGAGGATGTCTATGGTGGCTGATATTTTATCACATTTCATAGAATATGTCTAGGGTGGCTGATATTGTACCACATTTCATAGAGGATGTCTAGGGTGGATGATATTGTATCACATTTCATAGAGAATGTCTAGGGTGGCTGATATTGTACCACATTTCATAGAGGATGTCTAGGGTGGATGATATTGTATCACATTTCATAGAGGATGTCTAGTGTGGCTGATATTGTACCACATTTCATAGAGGATGTCTAGGGTTGCTGATATTGCATCACATTTCATAGAAGATGTCTGAGGGGCTGATATTGTACCACATTTCATAGAGGATGTCTATGGTGGCTGATATTTTATCACATTTCATAGAATATGTCTAGGTTGGCTGATATTGTGCCACATTTCATAGAAGATGTCTAGGGTGGCTGATATTGTATCACAATTCATAGAAGATGTCTGATGATTCAAGAGAAGACAACCCGCTATAAAAGATCATCGCTGCTCGCTGCTTCATACAATGTCGTTTTACTGACGGTGGTATTAAACAAAGATAGTGACGAGGAGACAGAGAACACGGGGAAGATGCTGACGAGTGGAGGGGCTGTGAACACAGATGGGTACACTGGCGGGACAGACGGAACTGAACTCAGACACAGAGGAAAATACTGACGAGGGGGAGAAAACACAGAGAAGGATACTAACGTTGATAAAGTAAACACACAGGGGGAATTAACGATGGTATAGCAAACACAAAGGGAAAATTAACGTTGGTACAGTAAACACAAAGGGGGGAATCAACGTTGGTACAGTAAACACAATAGGGGGAATTAACGTTGGTACAGTAAACACAAAGGGGGAATTAACGTTGGTACAGTAAACACAAAGGGGGAATTAACGTTGGTACAGTAAACACAAAGGGGGAATTAACGTTGGTACAGTAAACACAAAGGGGGAATTAACGTTGGTACAGTAAACACAAAGGGGGAATTAACGTTGGTACAGTAAACACAAAGGGGGAATTAACGTTGGTACAGTAAACACAAAGGGGGAATTAACGTTGGTACAGTAAACACAAAGGGGGAATTAACGTTGGTACAGTAAACACAAAGGGGGAATCAACGTTGGTACAGTAAACACAAAGGGGGAATCAACGTTGGTACAGTAAACACAAAGGGGGAATCAACGTTGGTACAGTAAACACAAAGGGGGAATCAACGTTGGTACAGTAAACACAAAGGGGGAATCAACGTTGGTACAGTAAACACAAAGGGGGAATCAACGTTGGTACAGTAAACACAAAGGGGGAATCAACGTTGGTACAGTAAACACAAAGGGGGAATCAACGTTGGTACAGTAAACACAAAGGGGGAATCAACGTTGGTACAGTAAACACAAAGGGGGAATTAACGTTGGTACAGTAAACACAAAGGGGGAATTAACGTTGGTACAGTAAACACAAAGGGGGAATTAACGTTGGTACAGTAAACACAAAGGGGGAATTAACGTTGGTACAGTAAACACAAAGGGGGAATTAACGTTGGTACAGTAAACACAAAGGGGGAATTAACGTTGGTACAGTAAACACAAAGGGGGAATTAACGTTGGTACAGTAAACACAAAGGGGGAATTAACGTTGGTACAGTAAACACAAAGGGGGAATTAACGTTGGTACAGTAAACACAAAGGGGGAATTAACGTTGGTACAGTAAACACAAAGGGGGAATTAACGTTGGTACAGTAAACACAAAGGGGGAATTAACGTTGGTACAGTAAACACAAAGGGGGAATTAACGTTGGTACAGTAAACACAAAGGGGGAATTAACGTTGGTACAGTAAACACAAAGGGGGAATTAACGTTGGTACAGTAAACACACAGGGGGAATTAACGTTTGTACAGTAAACACAAAGGGGGAATTAACGTTGGTACAGTAAACACAAAGGGGGAATTAACGTTGGTACAGTAAACACAAAGGGGGAATTAACGTTGGTACAGTAAACACAAAGGGGGAATTAACGTTGGTACAGTAAACACAAAGGGGGAATTAACGTTGGTACAGTAAACACAAAGGGGGAATTAACGTTGGTACAGTAAACACAAAGGGGGAATTAACGTTGGTACAGTAAACACAAAGGGGGAATTAACGTTGGTACAGTAAACACAAAGGGGGAATTAACGTTGGTACAGTAAACACAAAGGGGGAATTAACGTTGGTACAGTAAACACAAAGGGGGAATTAACGTTGGTACAGTAAACACAAAGGGGGAATTAACGTTGGTACAGTAAACACAAAGGGGGAATTAACGTTGGTACAGTAAACACAAAGGGGGAATTAACGTTGGTACAGTAAACACAAAGGGGGAATTAACGTTGGTACAGTAAACACACAAGGGGGAATCAACGTTGGTACAGTAAACACAAAGGGGGAATCAACGTTGGTACAGTAAACACAAAGGGGGAATTAACGTTGGTACAGTAAACACAAAGGGGGAATTAACGTTGGTACAGTAAACACAAAGGGGGAATTAACGTTGGTACAGTAAACACAAAGGGGGAATTAACGTTGGTACAGTAAACACAAAGGGGGAATTAACGTTGGTACAGTAAACACAAAGGGGGAATTAACGTTGGTACAGTAAACACAAAGGGGGAATTAACGTTGGTACAGTAAACACAAAGGGGGAATTAACGTTGGTACAGTAAACACAAAGGGGGAATTAACGTTGGTACAGTAAACACAAAGGGGGAATTAACGTTGGTACAGTAAACACAAAGGGGGAATTAACGTTGGTACAGTAAACACAAAGGGGGAATTAACGTTGGTACAGTAAACACAAAGGGGGAATTAACGTTGGTACAGTAAACACAAAGGGGGAATTAACGTTGGTACAGTAAACACACAAGGGGGAATCAACGTTGGTACAGTAAACACAAAGGGGGAATCAACGTTGGTACAGTAAACACAAAGGGGGAATCAACGTTGGTACAGTAAACACACATGGGGAATTAACGTTGGTACAGTAAACACAAAGGGGGAATTAACGTTGGTACAGTAAACACACAAGGGGGAATCAACGTTGGTACAGTAAACACAAAGGGGGAATCAACGTTGGTACAGTAAACACACATGGGGAATTAACGTTGGTACAGTAAACACAAAGGGGGAATTAACGTTGGTACAGTAAACACAAAGGGGGAATCAACGTCGGTACAGTAAACACAAAGGGGGAATCAACGTTGGTACAGTAAACACAAAGGGGGAATCAACGTTGGTACAGTAAACACAAAGGGGGAATCAACGTTGGTACAGTAAACACAAAGGGGGAATCAACGTTGGTACAGTAAACACAAAGGGGGAATCAACGTTGGTACAGTAAACACAAAGGGGGAATCAACGTTGGTACAGTAAACACAAAGGGGGAATCAACGTTGGTACAGTAAACACAAAGGGGGAATCAACGTTGGTACAGTAAACACAAAGGGGGAATTAACGTTGGTACAGTAAACACAAAGGGGGAATTAACGTTGGTACAGTAAACACAAAGGGGGAATTAACGTTGGTACAGTAAACACAAAGGGGGAATTAACGTTGGTACAGTAAACACAAAGGGGGAATTAACGTTGGTACAGTAAACACAAAGGGGGAATTAACGTTGGTACAGTAAACACAAAGGGGGAATTAACGTTGGTACAGTAAACACAAAGGGGGAATTAACGTTGGTACAGTAAACACAAAGGGGGAATTAACGTTGGTACAGTAAACACAAAGGGGGAATTAACGTTGGTACAGTAAACACAAAGGGGGAATTAACGTTGGTACAGTAAACACAAAGGGGGAATTAACGTTGGTACAGTAAACACAAAGGGGGAATTAACGTTGGTACAGTAAACACAAAGGGGGAATTAACGTTGGTACAGTAAACACAAAGGGGGAATTAACGTTGGTACAGTAAACACAAAGGGGGAATTAACGTTGGTACAGTAAACACAAAGGGGGAATTAACGTTGGTACAGTAAACACAAAGGGGGAATTAACGTTGGTACAGTAAACACAAAGGGGGAATTAACGTTGGTACAGTAAACACAAAGGGGGAATTAACGTTGGTACAGTAAACACAAAGGGGGAATTAACGTTGGTACAGTAAACACAAAGGGGGAATTAACGTTGGTACAGTAAACACAAAGGGGGAATTAACGTTGGTACAGTAAACACAAAGGGGGAATTAACGTTGGTACAGTAAACACACAAGGGGGAATCAACGTCGGTACAGTAAACACGCAGGGAGGATTAACGTTGGTACAGTAAACACAAGGGGGGAATTAACGTTGGTACAGTAAACACACAGGGGGAATTAACGTTGGTACAGTAAACACACAGGGGGAATTAACGTTGGTACAGTAAACACACAGGGGGAATTAACGTTGGTACAGTAAACACACAGGGGGAATTAACGTTGGTACAGTAAACACACAGGGGGAATTAACGTTGGTACAGTAAACACACAGGGGGAATTAACGTTGGTACAGTAAACACACAGGGGGAATTAACGTTGGTACAGTAAACACACAGGGGGAATTAACGTTGGTACAGTAAACACAAAGGGGGAATTAACGTTGGTACAGTAAACACACAAGGGGGAATCAACGTTGGTACAGTAAACACGCAGGGGGGATTAACGTTGGTACAGTAAACACGCAGGGGGAATTAACGTTGGTACAGTAAACACACAGGGGGAATTAACGTTGGTACAGTAAACACACAGGGGGAATTAACGTTGGTACAGTAAACACACAGGGGGAATTAACGTTGGTACAGTAAACACACAGGGGGAATTAACGTTGGTACAGTAAACACACAGGGGGAATTAACGTTGGTACAGTAAACACACAGGGGGAATTAACGTTGGTACAGTAAACACACAGGGGGAATTAACGTTGGTACAGTAAACACACAGGGGGAATTAACGTTGGTACAGTAAACACACAGGGGGAATTAACGTTGGTACAGTAAACACAAAGGGGGAATTAACGTTGGTACAGTAAACACAAAGGGGGAATTAACGTTGGTACAGTAAACACAAAGGGGGAATTAACGTTGGTACAGTAAACACAAAGGGGGAATTAACGTTGGTACAGTAAACACAAAGGGGGAATTAACGTTGGTACAGTAAACACAAAGGGGGAATTAACGTTGGTACAGTAAACACAAAGGGGGAATTAACGTTGGTACAGTAAACACAAAGGGGGAATTAACGTTGGTACAGTAAACACAAAGGGGGAATTAACGTTGGTACAGTAAACACAAAGGGGGAATTAACGTTGGTACAGTAAACACAAAGGGGGAATTAACGTTGGTACAGTAAACACAAAGGGGGAATTAACGTTGGTACAGTAAACACAAAGGGGGAATTAACGTTGGTACAGTAAACACAAAGGGGGAATTAACGTTGGTACAGTAAACACAAAGGGGGAATTAACGTTGGTACAGTAAACACAAAGGGGGAATTAACGTTGGTACAGTAAACACAAAGGGGGAATTAACGTTGGTACAGTAAACACAAAGGGGGAATTAACGTTGGTACAGTAAACACAAAGGGGGAATTAACGTTGGTACAGTAAACACAAAGGGGGAATTAACGTTGGTACAGTAAACACAAAGGGGGAATTAACGTTGGTACAGTAAACACAAAGGGGGAATTAACGTTGGTACAGTAAACACAAAGGGGGAATTAACGTTGGTACAGTAAACACAAAGGGGGAATTAACGTTGGTACAGTAAACACAAAGGGGGAATTAACGTTGGTACAGTAAACACAAAGGGGGAATTAACGTTGGTACAGTAAACACAAAGGGGGAATTAACGTTGGTACAGTAAACACACAAGGGGGAATCAACGTTGGTACAGTAAACACAAAGGGGGAATTAACGTTGGTACAGTAAACACAAAGGGGGAATTAACGTTGGTACAGTAAACACAAAGGGGGAATTAACGTTGGTACAGTAAACACAAAGGGGGAATTAACGTTGGTACAGTAAACACAAAGGGGGAATTAACGTTGGTACAGTAAACACAAAGGGGGAATTAACGTTGGTACAGTAAACACAAAGGGGGAATTAACGTTGGTACAGTAAACACAAAGGGGGAATTAACGTTGGTACAGTAAACACAAAGGGGGAATTAACGTTTGTACAGTAAACACAAAGGGGGAAATCAACGTTGGTACAGTAAACACAATAGGGGGAATTAACGTTGGTACAGTAAACACAAAGGAGGAATTAACGTTGGTACAGTAAACACAAAAGGGGGAATTAACGTTGGTACAGTAAACACAAAGGGGGAATCAACGTCGGTACAGTAAACACAAAGGGGGAATCAACGTTGGTACAGTAAACACCAAGGAGGAATTAACGTTGGTACAGTAAACACACAAAGAGGAATCAATGTTGGTACAGTAAACACAAAGGGGGAATTGACGTTGGTACAATAAACACAAAGGGGGAAATTAACGTTGGTACAGTAAACACAAAGGGGGAAATTAACGTTGGTACAGTAAACACAAAGGGGGAATTAACGTTGGTAAAGTAACCACAAAGGGGGAAATTAACGTTGGTACAGTAAACACACAAAGAGGAATCAATGTTGGTACAGTAAACACAAAGGGGGAATCAACGTCGGTACAGTAAACACAAAGGGGGAATCACCGTCGGTACATTAAACACAAAGGGGGAATCAACGTTGGTACAGTAAACACAAAAGGGAAATTAACGTTGGTACAGTAAACACGCAGGAGGGATTAACGTTGGTACAGTAAACACACAGGGGGAAGTAACGTTGGTACAGTAACCACAAAGGGGGAAATTAACGTTGGTACAGTAAACACGCAGGGGGGATTAACGTTGGTACAGTAAACACACAGGGGGAATTAACGTTGGTACAGTAAACACACAGGGGGAATTAACGTTGGTACAGTAAACACAAAGGGGGAAATTAACGTTGGTACAGTAAACACACAGGGGGAATTAACGTTGGTACAGTAAACACACAGGGGGAACTTGCGTTGGTACAGTAAACACACAGGGGGAATTAACGTTGGCACAGTAAACACAAAGGGGGAATTAACGTTGGTACAGTAAACACTAAGGCGGAATTAACGTTGGTACAGTAAACACAAAGGCGGAATTAACGTTGGTACAGTAAACACAAAGTGGGAATTAACGTTGGTACAGTAAACACACAGGGGGGGTTAACGTTGGTACAGTAAAAACACAGGGGGAATTAACGTTGGTACAGTAAACACAAAGGGGGAAATTAACGTTGGTACAGTAAACACACAGGGGGAATTAACGTTGGTACAGTAAACACACAAGGGGGAATTAACGTTGGTACAGTAAACACAAAGGGGGAATTAACGTTGGTACAGTAAACACACAAGGGGGAATCAACGTTGGTACAGTAAACACGCAGGGGGGAATTAACCTTGGTACAGTAAACACAAAGGGGGAGTTAACGTTGGTACAGTAAACACACAGGGGAGTTCTGATTGGATGGGGTAGAGAAACTGGTGTTAATGGACTTGTACTTACTGGCCGTACATACACTGCCGAGGGGCGTAGGTGCCGTCCTCCAGACATTGAGGTTTGGTTGTGGCGGACGGTCGGACGCCCGTTTCCTCCCATACCTGGTTCTCAAGTTCCTCGATGTAGTCATACTCACGTTGACAAGCTTGTGTAGCCTCCACGGGCTCCGGAGGATCGGTGACGTCAGTTGGGGCTGGAAATATAGTCCCACAAATATATTTTTACAATGCGACTTTTTGATATAATGAAAATATAGAAATATTTTCGTGATTTAAGGTTGATAACGAATAGATTGATATGTCAAAGACGTCCTGCATTCAAATAAAAACTTGTATTATTGTAATCTTACTTCTACCAATTAGTAATCAAATGCCTATTTGGGCAACGAAAAATGACATTCGGACGCACGATTAAAACTCCGTACCATCGGTTCCGGAATCGGTCTCGTCAGCATAGATGGCCGTAGCTATGACAAGTAAAGCAATAATGATGCCCTTCATTGTAACTGTATGTCGACAAGATCCGTTCTATAGCGTATTTGTGCGGTACAGTTAATTGGCTGATGGGCCTTATATACTGACCACTCAGGTGGGTAACATTCCTTGTCGACAGCAAGATAAATCGCGTGTGCACAGGTACGTGTAGCTGGTTATGTGGCTCGGAGTTAGTTCTCTATCCCGATGATATAATTTTGTTAATAATTTGTCCATCACATGGATGCTTGTTAACATGTGTTAGTCAAATATTCCTACAGGTGACATGAAAATTACATAGAAAGTGATAAAGTCTAGCGTGCTCACTGTCTCATCAATAATGTTGTATTGATGGCCGTCCGAGTCTCTAAATGTCTGTACGTTGTTTACATTGACTTGAAGATATTCCGTAATTTTCAATCGATTTTTAATTGAATTGCTGTTAAATCTGTTTCCATCCTACACACACAATGTATAGGAAACAATCGACCTGCTCTGTTCTTTTGAATCCTATCGGACACATTGCTTAACTAAGTATTAAACGTAGGACTATATCATTACCACTGTGTTACTCCATAGCCAGCTATATCATTACCACTGTCTAACTCCATAGCCAGCTATATCATTACCACTGTGTTACTCCATAGCGAGCTATATCATTACCACTGTTTTAGTCCAAAGCCAGCTATATCATTACCACTGTGTTACTCCATAGCGAGCTATATCATTACCACTGTGTTACTCCATAGCCAGCTATATCAATACCACTGTGTTACTCCATAGCGAGCTATATCATTACCACTGT